TAAAAACGCACTTTGGCAGACGGTTTTAATTTATTAATCCTCTGTAAGGGCACTGCTTGTGTTCCTTGTAGCAAATGCACCAATTCTGCAGGGAGAGAGTATTCCAGGTCAGATCTCATCCCTGCTGTGGCCCTTTTGTGGATAAAGAGAGGAGGGCTGTGATACCACGACACACGTGCTTTGCTGGGCTCCCCAGGCTGGAGGGAGCAGATGGGCAGATCAAGCCTTGGTGGAAACTCTGAAGTTCCTTCAGTTACCAGATCACAGAAAACTATTTTGGGGGCAGCAATTCACAAACCTCAAAGTGCTCCTCGTTGTGTTCTCCAGGGAGGGCCCTGGCTCTTCTCCAGCTGAGTTTTCCTCTCTGTCACAATCCAGCCCGTTGCTATTTGATGCAGATTTTACACAAGATGTGCTTGAATCCAATATGTGCTGACAATATTTGATCCCCTCCTGCTGTAATGTTGGAAGTATCTGCTTAGAGAGGAATTGTTTCCTTTTTTCCTCTCTCTTTTTAGTCTAATTTCCAAGTCATGACATGTAGAGGGTGTCTGAGCAAATCTAATCAGCCTTCTGCCTCGTTTGAGAAGGACAGCTGAGATCCTCTTTAACACCTCCATTTCTTCATTGCTGCAATCTGTTTTGATTAAAATTGCACAGGGCTCTCATCTGCATATTTATCACTCCACATACCCAGAAATCATCTCCCAGCTCTGCCACTCCTCAATATTCAGGACAGACTAAAGTGCTACACCAGGACTCTCAGCTATGCAGACGTTAATTTAGTTTCTCACACCTGCTGGTTTCCAGTAAATATGTCTTCAGGGGAAGGAAAATATTCACACATTACCTTTGCTTAATATTCCCCAGGAGTCAGAATTACTGGAGGGTTGTTTTTTTTTTTTTTTTAGGATTGATTAAAAATTTCCTATTAAGAAACAAATTTCAAATTAAACGGGAAGGTCTTTAAAAAGTTCTGATGCCAGGAGGAGGCCAAGGGGAAGGGGGAATGTCTGAACAAAGAAATAACCCTTTTTAATAACATTTTTGCAGCTTTTGACAGCCAGACTCTGACATGTTTTCAGATCCTCAGATGAAAGGGCTGCAGTGGAAACGAAAATTATTCCTTCCCTTTGTGCTATTGACAGGCCATCTTATTCCCACCACATATTATTAAGAGTATTACTAGCCACTGATCAAGTTTTTAAGGAGTGTTTTCCTGAAACAGTATTTTCCTTCTCTTTGGTTACATCTCACTTTTACATTTAGTGTCTATACAAGGAAATTTTTTTTGCCTGAGTCTCCTTCTGCCCCAGCTGCTGCAGGGATGCCATGATTTGCTTCTCAATTCAAAGTCTCTAATTTTTAATAGTCCAAAGAAAGTCTAAATTGAAGAATAACATACTCTGAGCCAGCCAGGACTGAGAGGAGACTGCAATGAAAATATGTGTGTTATCTTCATACTTTTCTGACTTGAACTTGAACCCAGCTCTCCCTGCAGAGCTTCCAAACTTCCAATACCTCAGTGGCTGAGCCA